GGAGGCGAATCCACGAATCAATCCACTCTTTTGACATCTTCAAAAGATCGGAAGTGTTGGTCAGCCAGGTCCGTGGGCCATTGCATCGAACAAAGTGATTAATCAGTAGGGAGCAACGTCTGGAGATAGGCTGGGTGGGGGTAGGAACGTCCCATTTTCAACGTTTCAGTACGTTTTTGACCACTCTTGCAACGTGGGTCTAGCATTTTGTCATGCAACAAAATCACGTTATCGCTGCCTCTCGGCTGTATGATGGCGGCGTTTGTCCTGTTCAATGCTCGGCTGAAACGCATTCATTGCGTATCGATATCGATCACCTGTGATTGATTTCATACTTGGTTTTAAAAGCTCATGGTACCACCAAAGCAGCTGGTCACCAACATGCAGAAGCATGATCTTGGACCAATGAATGGTGGTCTGGCCGTGACGTGGAAAGCATGGCCGGGATCCCCTCCATGATTTTTTTCCGATTTAGGTTATCGTTAAATGAAGCATTTTTCGTCCCCGGTAACACGATGCAGAAAACCCTTCGTTTTGCCTCCTGAAGCAACTGTTCACATACACACAAAACGCCCTTTCAATGTCTCTCAGTTTCAATTCATACGGGACCCAAGTTCCCTTCTTCTAAATATATAATCCATGTTTTTTAGACGTTATGAAATGCTTGCTGTGTCACCCCCAAGATACGTGCCTTCTTGAGTTTGACGCGAGTCTTCACTCGGCAATGCTCAATTCTGCATTCTCAAAAACTTTCACTCTCCGCCACTATGCCGGTCTTCCACGTTTAAAGTCATCCCCCATTTCCGAAGCGTTGAAACCACTCCGCGACACGTTCTCTCCTTAATAGCAGTCTCAACCATAAGGTCGTATACTTTTCCTGCGGAAACTTTATAATTTTTCCACACAAGATTCCGCGCAGTTGTTTCTGTGGATCTCTGTAAATAAAAGTTATTCCGTTACTTATACCATTTTTAATTTGTCATAGCGAAATATTCGTAGTAGGTACTTATACGGACGCATTTTCTGATCACAATTAAACTCTTGAG